AGGACTGTAGAAAAGGTCATTGGTGTGAGCCTGCCCTCCATGGAGGACCTGTACACCTCACGGGTCAAAAGGAGGGCGGAGAGGATCACTGCTGACCCCTCACACCCTGGACACAACCTGTTTGAACTCCTCCCCTCTGGACGGCGTTACAGGTCACTGTGCACTAAGACAACCAGGCACAGGGACAGTTTCTTCCCCCAGGCTGTCGCTCTGATGGACACTTAGCCCATGACTGTATGATTAGACAATAACCCTCAGTGCAACACCTGTAAATATACACTATACAGACTCATACAGGTCTCCTAATGAACATTCCTTTGTCTGTCTGCATCGTTTACTGCCTGTTTATACTGTTTATTTTGTTTAATTACACAGTTTTATGTTGGTATATTGTTTACTTGCCCCTTGCATGGGGATATGTACGTGCACATTGAGAGCCGCTGTACCAGTCAAATTCCCCGTGTCCAACACACCTGGCCAATAAACCTGATTCTGATATTAAGACTTGATCTTATTGAGATTCAGCTCCAAAGAGTTGGTGGGTAAGAACACATGCAACCACATGGTGGCAGTACTGAGCCTGTCACGCCATCACCACACTGGAAATTTTTGACAGTTATTTTACTGAAGGTCTGAGACAATACTCCAGACACTTTACATCCAGAGTACTACTCACTCTGAGGCTGATCCACGTTAAAAGGCCGTTTCAGCTGCATTTATAAAAATGTCTCCTCCAGCGTCACATACTGTGCCTGCAGTGTTAGATCAAGTCAAGTCAAGACTCTTTATTGTCATTATGCATAGCACAACGGACTTTTTTCCGACAGCTCTCGGCTTAAAAGACATATTATTTACATAACACACAATTGTATAAGTCAGTATAAAAATAAAAAGGGATGTATGGGACCTAATGAGGTCAGCAGCATGTTAGCATCAAGAGTGTAGTAACATTATAAGGTGCAGCTCAGTGCAAAGCTCAGTCTTTAGGAGGAGGTGTGAGGTCCAGGTTTGTGTCTGTCCATGGGGGGGAGGTTGTGTGTGTGACTAGGGGTTGGGGGGGTGATTGATTTCACAGCTCTGGGGAAGAAGCTGTGTCTCAGTCTGTTTGTTTTAGTCTTTATATTCCTGTACCTTTTCCTGGAGGGAAGAGGCACAAACAGACTGTTGCCTGGGTGGGTGGGGTGTGCAGCAATCCGTCTGGCCCTCCTTCGGATCTGGTCAGTGTATAGTGAGTCCAGATCCAGAAGAGGACTCCCTACGATACCCTGAGCTGTTCTCACCACCCGGGTCAAGTCCTTTCTGTCCTGTACAGTCCAGCTCCCGTACCACACTGTCGCACTGAGACAGAGGATGCTCTCTACTGTCGCTCTGTAGAAGTTTGCGAGCAACTGAGAGGAGAGACCAGCGTGTTTCAGCTTCCTGAGGAAGAAGAGCCTTTGCTGAGCTTTCTTCACCAGATAGGATGTGTTCAGAGACCAGGACAGGTCAGATGTGATGTGGATGCCCAGGAACTTGATGTTATCCACTTGCTCCACCACCTCCCCATGTACTCTGTGGAGTGAAATGATGGTTTGTGTCCTGACCTGCTGAGTGAACACTCCGGCCAGTCAGTCCAGTTTGGACTCCAGTCAGGGACCAAACTAGTGTCAGGCTGGGCTCGGTGCGGAGCCGCAGCAGAGGCTCTGGAAAGACAGATTTCAGTTTTTGATTTTTAATACATTTGCAAAAATGTTGAAAACGTGACTTCACGTTGCCACTGTTGGTTGATTTGAAGCTCAATGGACCACAATGGTGATTTTATCCATTTCACACTGTTTAGTTGACCTCACACTTGACCTGAGTGTATTAATGTCCCTCTAGACTTCTCCTTTACTACTGACCTGTCAGAGGAAACTGTCCTTTTCACCACACTGGTTTGACAGGTTTGGTTCCAAGTTAAAGTGTTTACATGAACTAAAACACTGCAGCTGTGTGGTTAAAGATTGAAGCAGCACGGTGTTGGGCCCCTTGTCACAGGATTGGTAGTTTCCCCTCTAGTCCTCTCACCCACCTTATTTGACTGTCTGAGGCCTAAAGAGGTCAAAGGGTCCAATATTTTACAAAACACATAGGAAAAGTAAAACTATGCTGCTTTCCTCTCCCATGAATCATGTGACGACTCAGACACAGGAGCTTGACCCCTAGACTGGGAACCACTAGCTGTATTAAAGTAGTTCAAACCAGCTTCGCCTGGAGCAGGAAGACGCTGCTGAAGCTCTGATGACTCCCTATAACTGGCAGATACAATAATAATCAGTCACAGGGGACATTACACAGCACAACCAGTACTCGTGCTTTGGATACTTTCTGTATATGTTGATAATTCTACTAGTAATGGAGTATTTTTATTAGGCCTAGGAGAAGAGCTGAGAACAGCACCGTACTGAAGCTTTAATTAGACTTCACTAATTTTGTTGCCCATTTATTGTAGCGTTAGAAATATTAAATCAATGGCACTGCACGGTGCTGGACAGTGGCCGCCGGGGGCCTGTCTAGGGGGAGTCCACGTGTTGTGTGTGGGTGCTTCGGCTTCCTCCCATGATCCATATGCAGATATGCAGGTCAGGTTGGCTGGTCGCTCTGAACTGCCTGTAGGTGAGACACTGCCTGCCTGTGTGCGTCAGTCCTGAGACAGGCTGCCAACCTGTTCGGGTGGACCCCTCTTCTCACCCAGTGTCCCCTGGGATCAGCTCCAGGCCCCATGACCCTCCAGGACGAGCGGACCTCAGGCTTGGACGCCACATAGCCACACTCTGATTGGACAAAAACCTCCGAGATGGTCTCGTCTTCTCACGGTGGAGAGAGGACAGACAAACAAACCCACACACTGTAAACCTGTGCACACACACAAGATGAACGCATCACTGTGTGAATGGTGTCACAAAACAAACAGTGGGCACTGACGCTGACAGCTTCTCTCACTGCAATATGCATTTATTGTTCTCATCACACACATCTTTACAAAACAGAGGGTTTTCTGCCACAGGATCAAAGGAAGCCAGATTCTCCCTCAGAGCTGCAGATCTGAAGGAGAGCGGAGCGATTTCTTCACGTCACTCAGCTGCAGCGTCTGTTCTTTGATTTCAAACACAAGCCCATGAAGGCTTAGAGGAGAGCAGAGCTGTGGTGTTGCTGGCTAAACCAGAGGAGAACATGCTCTGACCTGAAGCCAATCTGTCACTTGTACTTCTGCTGTTTGTCGTTGTAGTGAGGCAGCGCTCGGGCTCGCACAGTAAACACTGATGCACACACTGACTGAGATGCTGCACAGATGAGAAGCGTGCACTGACGGTGTCACTGGTTTCAAAGCACTTTCGTCACATTTCCTCATTACGATTCTTTTAAGGCATTTCTGCTTCACAGGGACATTTAAGACTAGAAATCAACGAGGAAACAAGGAGATGTCACTCAGCGAAGGTCAGGAGTCTGACTCCGACTCACAGTGTCGCTGTGCTCGTCTCTCTGTGCTGCACGCTGTCACAGCTCTGTAATCTTTTGCCTGCAAACAGTGAAATCAAACCTCTCACGAGCACAAGATGCTCAGTAACCCTCCACTTCTTCTTTCTCACATGAGCATCTGCCGGATCACAGGTGATGGTGATACAGCACATGTATGTTACACATAAAACCCTGTGGCTCACTGGTTTGGGCTTAGGTCCCCGCACTCCAGGATCTGATTCAGTCTCAACAACAAAGACTGCATCCACATCCCAGCTGAGTTTCCCAGACACCTGGTCTGTCCACCGCAGTGTGGACAGACCAGGTGTCTTCAGACCAGATCTGGGCCACCTGTGTATGAGCTCCTAGACCTGATTCCTCTCCGCTGTCAGAACGGTCAGATCAGAATCCATGTGGTCATTCTAACGTCTCCTCTGCACATACGGCCTGTCGTCATCATTCGGCGTCAGCCCCTCACAGACCGGTAACAATAAACATGGAGGAGAGCGACGACAGCGATGGGGTCAGTGGAGAGACCAGGACGTTTATGGAGAAGCTTCTGATCAGGCCAAACTGGGAGGAACATATCGTAACCCAGTGGTTTGGGAGGAAACTGGGCCATTTGACTGTCACACACACCACCTGGTTGTTATTCTTGTGTGCACGTGGCTCACATTTCAGTTCCATCTGTGCATGTGTGGCAGTTTAGGAGCTCAGTGGTGTTCACACTGGAGCCGGGTACACGGCGCTGACACACACAGATCAAAGCTGAGTCTTAAGGCCTGGGACGTGGACGCAGCCTATAATCAGCCTTGTTTCCAGCAGCAACAGGCGGCTGATCTCAGACTATGCTACTGAAGAAGCATTAAACAACAGACAGAGTAACCTAATGTGTGGATGTAGTGGAGCATTCAGCAGCTGAAGAGCCAGGTATGTTTGTCAGGAGATGGTGGAGCCCAAAACTGAGCTAAAAGCAGAGTGAAGACTGGACTCACACTGATCAGGCTGCATCATGTCTGCAGGACGTGTAAATAAACAACTGTCTGCTAACGTGTTAGTCATGAAAACCAAACAGTGATAATATGTCACTGGTACTTAGTTTGTTCCACAAAAGCCCTAAAGCTGCTTCTACAGGCTGCACTATGCTAGCTTTCTTACCTTTGACTGTGGAGCTAGTGTAAGACCATGAATGTGTCTGAATAACTGACAGCAACAGAGGGACAATTCATTCCTAGAATTTATGAGCTTCAACACTCAGTATATTAAGTGTGAGTGAACGCTCAGTGTGGCCTTGGTCCACTGGACAAGTTCAGCAGTCTGGCACAGAGACCGAGCCGCCTGCTTCCACACACACTCTTCTCTCTCATCAGAACAAATACAGTACAGTCTCTAGACGCGAGTGTTGCTGATGTGTAAAATCACAGTCTCAATACAAAAGAGGGCTATGTACAATATTATAGAAACAAGTCTCAGGGCAACAGACACAGCATCAGCATACAACAAAATGCTCTACACCCCTGTGCGGCCTCACTAAACCACATCTTGCACTTGATATGTATTGTTAAAACAAACAAGCTGAAGCCTCAAAGTTTGACCTCACTGCAACAAAAGTCAGTGACTCCACCTGAGATGTCCAGTTAAGACCAACAGCACAACCACCGCAGCTTTCCCTCTGGTCTGGCTTGTGCCTGATGCAATGTGGCTCCACAGGACGGCAAACTGTCTGAACAACTAAGCAACTGGACTGATAGACTTGATGAAGACAGAGAAGGTCTAATGCACCGTAGGAACCTTTCATTAGGTGTGCTTCTCTAATGATCGACTTCACTTCTTCTTGGTTGTTAGATACAAACCAATAAAATTACCAAACATATCAGTGACACCGACCGGGGCGCACTCACCTTTGTTCAACACTGCACGTGTGACTGTGCATGTCTATGCTTCTGAATAAGTCTGAATATACAAGTGCTCTATGAAACAGGGCTTTATTCTTATGTGTGTGTCGTCCAGCTGAGGGACACGTTCCACCGCACAGCGATGGTGTTATGGTGACCATACCAACGCCACAGACAAGAGAGAGAACTGAGGCTGCAAAAAGATGTTTGGAGAGGAAAAGGAGGAAGGACGAGAGGAAAACAAGGAGAGGAGTGAGTGTGCAAATCTGTCGTGCCACACATAACAGACGCACCATATCTACATGTCAATAAATCAATCTATGACAAAAGCTCAGAAATGAATCACAGTAATTACATGACCACAGGAAGTCTTGTCCAATCTGTTGACAACAGAGTTCAGAGTGAAATAATCCAAAGTGAGTGTACCAGCATCACTGAAGGTGTTTTGATTGGCAACAACAAACTTGTGATGCAGTTTATTTGGCTCGATGACCAGACGCCTGAACTTCTCAGATGTCAGCCCTGAGGAAGCAACATGAGGCAGACGGCCGAGGGAAGACGCCTGTTCGCTGCGTCTGCTGCTGCTGAGAGACGTGAACCCGGTGCTTCTATCTGCCGAGCTGACGAGGACTCTGCTACTCAGACTACAGTCTGTGTGGAGGAGGAGTTAAAGAGGCGAGTAACAGCAGAGGAGCACATTCACTGGTCAGTTTATTAGGAACACCTGTCTCAAACTAGGTCAGTAAGTCCTGCTTGATAACGTTCAGTATTAGGCCAGATTCACACAAACATCTGTCCCACGATGAAACACCACAGGGGGCCGTGCTGTTTCAGGTGAGAATGAAACACGATCCAGGGCCTCAGGTGGAGGAACAGATTTGTGTTTAAAGCTGATTAGACTCCAAAACCCAGCACAGTGGTTCGTAATCCTCAGAGACAGGACTGTACAACTCTGGGACGTTACCACGGGGGCAGCTGTATCTTTGGGGTGATGAGGTCACAGTAAACAGCAGTGCCATGTTCACATTACAAACTAATCCACGAGGAATGCACACTCGAATGCATGTGATTAGCCAAAGCAGTGCCGCACCAGATTGTGTCATCTTGTAGAAAAAGTTGAACTATATTCAGCTGCACTGTTTTGGCAGAGGCCCTGTGATCCTGGTCCTGCAGCGTGAGCACACACATTGAAACGACTGAGAAGGGCCGAGCTTTTCACAGAGTGCACTGTGTGAATCCACCCTAAAGGCAGCTTAAGAGAGGTGTTGATTCAAGTGTTTGAAGTGCTGCTGAACTGCACTGTGTTATACAGAGAGGTGTTTCTGTTACTGTGTCCACCCCATTTATATCAACAAGGCTAAGCTGCTGTCTTGGCCAGGGCGTCGGTGTAAGACTCAGCGGGTTTCCCCTGGTAAAACACTGGTTAAATAAATAAAAAATAAACACCAGAGCCAGCTCTGTGTAACCCAGTCCAGGTGAACAGTAGCACAAACTGCACAGGTGAACCAGCACCTCTGTGGAACGGTCTGAACTCAAACTGAACATCACCACCTTCCTGGAGGAGGACTCAGTGCAGCACTGTTGGATCAGACTGACTCAGTGACACAGGTGTTCCTAATAAACTGGCCACTGAGAGTGTGTGGCTTGCTAAAAGGATGATTTCACAGTGAGTCTCTGCAGCAGACGTATCCTCCGGCGTGGTTCTTTGGTCCATCGTGGCAGCCTCCTGGCGGCCACAGCTGAGTTGGACCGAGACATCACCGTCACACTTCAGTACCAAATGTGTGTAAACATATGGTTGTGAAGAACAAGCAGTGGACACGCTCACTGGTCACAGTTTGCTGTCCCTACAGAGCACACCACTGCTAATGGAAGTGAGCGTCACATCACTGAGTTTATACCAAAAGAGTCTTTAAAATGACAAGAGAGATAAAAGTACCTGACTGTGTACTCAATGTTCAGCGTGTTACTGGGTGTCCAGCAAAGTCAAAGTCCTGTGACAGTTCGCCTATCGGTTCCCGGGGCAGAGAGGGCAACAGGGTGTCTGTATGGCACGTGCTGGGAGAGGAGAGGTCTAGACCTGCGTGGAGTAAGATCGGTGGGGCGCCGTGTATCGCCCAGCTGCATGGGCGGCACAGTGTGGCGAGTGCTGCTCCGACTCATCTACACTTCGCTGGAGATGGAGCGAGACTGTATGAGGACATCGGGGGCGGCGGGGAACCGATAGGGCTGACGGTCATGTGATCTCAGTGAACGGAGATCCCCGCGGAGTCTGCAGGGGAAAGAGAGGAGTGAGAAAGAGAGAGGACGGCGAGGAGAGAAGGCGAAGGAAAAGAGAGAAGTGAAGAAAGGATACTCAAAAGCAATGTACGGGATGAGGGCGAGAGAGGGGGAGGAAACAGGTGGAGCAGAGCAGCAACAGAGGACGGAGATAGTGAGGAGAGACAATGACCGGCAACAAAGATTCAGCCATTAGAATGGCTGGACATAGGTGTTGTAAGGTGGGGCGGAGGAGGAGGAGAGTGCCGGATGCTGGGGGAGAGTGAGGGATAAGGAGCAGAGTGAGAGCAGAGAGGTAGGTGGGAGACAGAGAAGAGGCAGGTGAGGGTTAGTGACGGTGACAGGCCACACAGGACGCAGCACATTGTCTTAAATACGTGGACTCGAGCCACACTGTCCCCCGCTCTGCACCGCTACAGTTACTTTCTTTTAGCTGCAGCTAAATGCATCACTTTCCTCCAGCGGCTGCATTATATCAGAATGGCAAATTACACCTCAGCCACACTGCTGACCCTCCTCATGGAGATGAGTGACTCCCTACGTCCCGATACACCGTGGGGTCTAGAAGTAAGGCTGCACACACTAGAGCGTTCTCCCTGCTCTGGCTGAAACAAAAGCTCAGCTCCTTTCACAGCAGGGAAACCAATCTCAGGTGTGTTCTTATCAGCCTGCCACACTGGGCTGTTTCTGTTGGGACTGGGATGCAGGTGGGCCAGGAGCATGCGTGACTGGGGCCTTGCTCTTTCTTGGGACAAAAGGGGGACAGAAGCTTTAGGTATGAGACGAGAAGTGCGACACTGTACAATGTCATCTCCTGTGTTGTGAGCGCAGCCGTGCCTCACACCCGCCCCCGCCCCTTACCTGAGGGCCACTTAACTTTTCAAGTGGACTCTCCACACAGGGCAGTGTCACCATGGGCATGCCCAGCAGGGACTCAGGGCGCTGGGGTCGTGGGGAAGGAGCACCAGGCTGCAGCCACCGGAAGTTGTTAATCACACAGGTCACCTGGAGACAGAGACCAGGAGGAAGACGTCAGGACAGGCAGAAAGAAAGATGGCAGGAGATCTGACCTTTGCTGCCTCCAAACAGCAATTATCTAGTCATAGCTTAGTGTTCGGCTGCTTTGTGCACGGGGCAGTAAAGAGAGCCCCAGTGACTCAACAAGTTCAAGGCTGGTGTCCATTTTTAGTCTTTATCAACTCAGAAACCAGAGCTAGTATGAGGACTGAATTAAACTATGCATCAGGCTAACTAGCTTACTGCTAACTTACACTTGCATGACATTAGCCAAGCACTTCTTCTGTGGGGTTACAGATGACAACAGAAATATGGGGCAGTGAAACATACCCTAAGACCAATGTGTCTATTCTACATCTTCATCAACAGTGTTGCCACATCTGGAGTTACATCACAAACATACCTGTGTTGGAACACCCACCCTGTGGGACCATGTTGTGTTCATTTCCACATATGAAAAGTGCTGGCACAGTGACAAAATAACAAAGAGGCCCCTTAGATATCAAACAAGGCAAATCCTCAACGTGTGTTTCAAAGACTTGAAGGTTTTGGTTCTATGACCATCGCCAGCACAGCTAACGCTAGCCTGCTCATGCCTTGGTCTGCAGATTCCACAGCATCCTCATCCTCAAACCTTGAAGCTGGGTGTGGCTATGCAGGTATGTTTTTATAGCAAGCTTGCAAACCATCCCAGGCTCATGTTGGAGTGAGCATTTTATCTACAGCACAGTGGATGCCTCATCTTATACATGGACCAGAAGCTGAGGACTTGGGAACATGTGGCTTTAGCTGCCAGCGCGTTAGGAAAACATTCTCCAGTGTGAACAAACAGAACATCCTTCCCTTGTTGTGTCTCCTTACCAGAAACACTGCGATGGCACCCCCGGTGAAGAATCCCGCCAGGACGTCAGCCCAGTGGTTGCGGTACTCAGCCACCCTGACCACGCCCACCAGCGCGGCCAGGCAGAGCAGGGTGAGGCTGATGGTGGGCTTGGTGAGCCGCGTGCCCTGGGTCTTGAACACCAGCGTCACGTACATCTGCACAGGGGCACAGAGGAGTACAGCAAAGCCCGGACACACTGAAAGGTACAAAGTAGAGCTCAGAGTCCTGCTGGTCCACCACAGTTAGGGAGGAGCCAGAGGACGCTGAGCCCACTGTCCAGTTCAGACACACACAAACACGTTCCCACCTACCGCTGTGAACGCTGCAGCATAGACGCTGAGAGCCGTGTCTTTGGATGGGAAGGATTTCCGTGCAGCCATGACAACCAGCGGGTTTCCTGTGCAGGCGCGGCGCTCCGTGATGTACTGCAGGGTGGTCTGGCAGCCTAACGCTGTGTAGTTTGGTCGGCAGGCAGACAGGAAGTGAGGCGTCTGGTTTCCTATCACCACCTGGCCGGCATTGGCAAAGATGGTGGTGGTGAACAGGCCAAAGGCATACACACCTGGTTGGGAAGGAGAGTTGGGACGTGGGGTGGGAAAAGTGGGAAAAGTTGTATGAAATTGTAAAAATGCAGAGACAAAGGAAAAAACAGTTCAAAGAAGAAAAGGAAAGTCAGGGAATCCCTTGGAATGAGCTGGTTTTCTGCAGTGAGTGGTGATAAAATGTGATCTGAAAAGTCCAGACAACACAACAGACATCATTTTATCTCTGCAGTACCATTAAACCTTCACAGTGCTGGTGAAGAAACTCAGTGGACCTTGGAGTTAGACACAGGCTCGTCTGGTGTGAACGCTCTCTGAGCTCAGTCCACAGCAGCTCTGGTCTGACTGGACCCCTCCACGGCATGGATCTGCTCTATCTGAGCTCATCCTGTAGCAGATTTACTTCCATGTTCAGGCTCATTGTCCTGCTGCAGCTGCAGCATCATGATGCTCCCTCTGCCGCCCTTCACCCCAGGACGACATGCTCTTGTCGGTGCATGGTGTCCCGCTGCCTGTTCTGCCCAGCCAGTCCAACCTGAGGTTCATCAGCCCATTGAAAGTTTCCCAGCAGTGCTGTGGAGAGTCCAGCCGCTCTGACACAAACCTCAGCTGCAGTGATGTGTTACCTCAGAGAGCAGCAGCGTCCTCTGTGGTGTCCTGCCATGGACTCTGTGATGTGTGTGTGTGTGTGTGTGGTCGACGCCCAGACAGAGATGTCAACCAGCCCCAGAGATTCCCTTGAGCTCTCAGCTGTTACTCTGAGCTGGGCGCCCACTGCCAGGGAGAGCAGCCACTGAATCTCTCTGAGAAGAATCTGTGACCTGTTACAGCGCCATGCAAATCAACTGTTCCTGAACTGTTTGTGAGGCCTGGTTCACATCAACAGATGCTTTTAGTGAACAGCAAACCCAGACGGTTTCAGGGTTATAGGTCAGAGTGGCTCCAGCACACGGCTCCAGTCTGACGCCGGTTAGCTTCTGTTGATGTCATTAGCTGAGACATTCACACACCTTTCCAAGCCACAATTTCTTGACAACACAATGATTTGTGTATTATCAGTTCAGACACTCTGACCATGTTTTAAGAAACGTATACATGAATGCAGATAATTACAGACTTCACTCTCTGTTCTTGTCACTGTACGAGAAGATGAAGAAAACCACAATGTTTGACAAAGAGCAACACAAAAACACGCAGCACTACTATGAGATAAAACGAGCGACAATGAGTTCCTCCTTAAAATAGCCTCAACACATTGTTATCAGCTGAGGTGTGAAGCCTTCACCTGATTCAGCTCAAGATGCAAAACTGTTGGCTGCTTAATATTCACCGTCTTCCTGCCACTAAGATAATCATTACAAATTACAGCCTATTATCTAGTTAACATCTACAAGCACAGCTCTGATTGAAGTGCAGCAGGTCACCTTTTCTTTCATGTTGTGGTCTTTTTCTTGTCGTGTCTTACTGTCGATAAAACCATACACAGCTGTAAAGAGCAGAGAGGCGGCGCTCACCTAGGAAGCGAATGATGCGTCTGAGGAGGGGGTTGAAGTAGCAGCAGTCTGCTGTGACGATGGTCTTCTCCCGGACACCCTCTGCCTTGATGAAGAAGGTGCACAGCTCCCCAGCGAGGATCTGTGCAACAGCAGAGTGCGTGTCATGACTGTGTCGGTTCTTACATGCACACGCTGGCGTCTAAGTACATATGCTATACCAAGTTTACTGTACTGTGTTGTTGTTTCTAGACACTTTGGCCACAGCAAACATCTGGCACATCGACTGATGCCTTCACCTGGACAGGTGTTAAAGCAGCAGACAAAACACAACCTTCAGCAGGTTCACTGTCTCTGTGTTTGCTGGCACTCGAAGTGATGCACACGGCGGAACCACACAGTCATGTGTTAATGTGAGACCTGACCCAGAACCTTTACACCCGACTGTTGTTAAGCTGGTCACCATCACGCACATGGACAAGGTGGAGGAGGACCAGATGGAGGCAAAGTGGTTTTAATAAGCCAGTGAAATTCCTGTCGGAAATTAGCCTGGCTCTTAACAAATGTAACTAGAGAAGTGCATTTCCTGTCGAAAATGCGTGCGGATGCTGTGTGCTGAAAGATTGCCCTGAAAATGCCGAACATTTTGACACATGAAAGGGATATTTACCTGAAAGTGTGCTGAAGTACAATTTTCCCATTCATTTGAATGGGGCAAGATTGTCAAAATAAAGCTAAATATTTCAAAAGTATGAAGTTTAGAAATGACTGTCCTTGAAGAGCTGAACATTTTGATAGCTGAATGGCTTTGATAGCTGAAAGTATACTGAACTTATTAAAGATGAGAAAATAGTCCAATAGGACCCCACAAACCAGGTGAAACAAGTAGGTGTGAATGTGTGTGTGGGCGGGGTGGGGTGGAGAGTTGAAAAGATGAAGACCTCAATGGCCTGTATAGCTGAAAGTATGCTGGAGTTATTGAGTGCCAAAAAAGGGGGAAGATCCCAGAATAATAATAATAACTAGAAAACTGCATTTCCTGTCAAAAATGCATGTGTGGATGCGAATTGCTGAAAGATCGCCCTGAATATGCTGAAGACTTTGACACCTGAATGGTTTTGCTAGCTGAAAGTATGCTGAAGTAGAATTTCCCCATTCTTTTGAATGGTGCAAAACCTTCACAATAAAGCTACATATTGAAGAAATATGGAGTTTAGAAAGGTTCTGAATAGAAGCATGAATGTCCTTGAAGAGCTGAACATTTTAACAGCTGAAAGTATTCTGAGCTAGAATTTCCCCATTCATTTGAATGGTGCAAAACTTTCAAAATAAAGCTACATATT